AGTATTGGGCATACTTGACTTACACAAAACAATACTTTATTTGTATTCAAAAATCTAAATTTCTTTTAAAATATCTCTGCAGGTATCTACAGGCAGATATATTTTCTTCCCAGAAGTGAAAATTTAAACACACAATTGCAAGAACCAGGATTTCATCCACCCACTCCCTGTAGAAAATGCTGAAGATAGCCCAAGGCAGCTTGTTGCTGTTTATATGCAGGCTATTTTTGACTCCCATTCCAAGGTGGCAAAGTCTTATGTGTTTAGTGGAGATGCTGAGTGCTGGAAAAAGGACCTTGATTTTACTTTGTGGGGTGACTGCTTAAAAATTAGGCATACAGTGGTTAACTCTTGGATGGCCAGCTCCTTCTTTGTGCACAGTTTTCAGCTTGAAATTTTTAGAATCATGGTTCCGTTCTTATTTGACACACTGAAATCACTATAAAATTACTGAAATAAAATCCTTTTAACTAATTTCATTACATGGTAAGGATCTCAAGCTGTAAAAATGAAGTTTGTATACATTGTGAAGTACTCCCAGTCCAACAGTGAATCTGTTCAAGCTGTGATTAGGGCACAGTAATTGCCTGTATGAAGATGCCAAAATTCTCTATCAACCACTGAAATATAATGTGTGGTACTGGCACTTGTTAGTACACAAAGATGCTCTGGATCTTGTAGGGAACTCTGAGTCTCTTGTGCACTTCCATCACAACAGTACATCTACGCACTTCCATTGTTGCCAAGGAACAAATTTTAGTAAAAAATGCAAGGCAGTATGTAGAAGACCTTGAGCTAAGAGCAAATGTCGGTGTACAAAATTATTTCAAATCTGAGAGCAGATATAATGGATGCTGGCAGAAGGGATGAGCTCTGTAACATCTCTTTGGAGCTATAATTTCTCCTACCCCCTCTGAAGCATGTGACTCCCAATAGGTTGCAATCTGGCAGAAACCACTTTGCCCACACATTGCTTTTATTTCTGGAAACTGTGTGATGAAATCTGTAGATTAAAGCAGCAGTCTTCATGTTTACTTCTTCCTTTCACTGAGTTTTAACAGAAATTTTTTGTTCGAAAAAGTGATTTTGGACAGATTTTTTTTCCCTGGGACTAAATTCTCACAGGAGTTTTAATGAGGTGAAAGTACTTCCTTAGCAGAGACAGTAAGGGAGAATTGACTCTGTTACACATTATGCTCTATAACTCCATAGACATCTAAAATGTATCTTGATTGTTTCAATGTTAATACATGTGTGAAAGTTGGGAGGGTATTTTTAAAACATATGTTTCCAGGGAGTTTTTGTGTCTTTCCTGAGGGAAATACTTCTTTTCTGATTCTAGCATTATTTCACTTGAGATGTGAAAATTCAGTAGGCTAATTTATTTATACAATGTAGTATATGGTTACAGATTAATAACTATCAAATATTACAGAAAGTTGCTGTATTTTTATTCATAACTTAAAAAATGTTAAGGGTCTTTTACAACCTAAGTGATTCTAATTTTTTCTTTTCTACACGATTTTAAGGTACACAGGGAAGCTATTGATTTTAAACTGTTCTTAATAGAAGAAGGCAATTATTTCATTATTATCATGAAAATAATGTTGGTTTAAAAAATTAAAAATCTATTATTACCATAAAACAGTATAGAAAGGGAATGGCTAAGTTCTCTGAATTTCTGAGTAGTAAGCACACAGAACTTTGTGCCACTTCCAGGCCTAACGTTGCTTCTACTGGAATTCCAGATAGTGGCAGTCTGCTGAAACATGAGTTCAGTTACCAAATATAGATGAGTGGGGTACGAATTTCATAGGCACAGAGGACGGATGTAACCCACAGGCCACAGTCTTCTCAACTAAGGACCAAGCAAGCTTTACTGAAGAACTGGAGCAACTTTAAGCCTATTCAGATAGAAAAGGAGAAAAACAACTTTACCTACTATTAATAATACTTGAACTCTTCATATTGCCCTGCTCATTGTAAGATCTGTTTTATATTTTCTGCTAAACGTAATTGTTGTATTTGTGGAGTAATTTTGCAGGATTTCAAAATACAGAGAAAAACTATGTGCCCTTTTTGTTTTAAAAAATCTTACTGGATACGTTTCATCCTTCATACTATTCTATTGAAGAGATAGGCTTTGGGTCATGTTAAGTAGTAATTTCTTATGTGGCAGGTTCTGCAAATTCTGGATGTTTATACTTTTCTTGAAATGAGTCCTTTTATTTTCTATGTTTTTCCATATTTTTCTATATGTATCTTCAAAACCTTAATTTGATTAGCTACTTGATTTTTTTCTGAAATTACAGTAAACCAGTACATTTCAAATTTAATATTTACCATATTATTCTTTAGAGCATCTGTATTGGGTTTTGAATAAGTATTTAAACTGTGTGATTAAAAAAATGTGGTTTTACTTGGGCATAATTTCTAAATATATACGAGTAGGACTCCATAAATAGTCTGTATGTAATAATGTTGAAAGCACAGGTAAACACTGATCTGCATGCAACTTTGTACTTTATGTTTGCGTCTTTAAATGATACAGTATATGGCTTTGCAGGTTACCTAATGAGTAATGATGATGAAATATGTTATAAATACATTGTAGTCTAACGTGGGGAAGCTAGAAATAGCATTCAAAATTTCTAATTATGATCTTATAAGCTACTTGATAGGGTTAGTGATACTTCACCTCCAGTTCACTGTGGTTACAAGTTACACTAAAAGAATAGCGAGTTTATGTATTACAGTATGGCTGAAAAAAGTCTTTCTCCTGGAAGCTTCCATTCAGCTCCCTAAAGCTAGACATATGAATGCATTTTCAGGCACCTTCTCACCAAGAAGGCTTATCAGCAAGCACTAGAAATTGCCAGTAAACCAGCACGTTTAAATCCATCAGCTTTATCTAAATGTCCAGGTATAAACTGATTCGCCTAAGTTTAGGCACCAGGCTTCGAAAATTACAATGTACGTGGCCGTTATATTTTTCTAATGACAAAGTTGAGTATTGGAATGTTAATATGTTAATTCATAATGCATTAATTTTAATCATCATGTTGGGTAGCTAATAAGTAAACCTACTTGTCCTACCCATGAAACAGCCCATTGAAACATTAGAGCAGCCTGGTGTTGGAAGTCAGGGAAGTTTATCTGAATATGTAATATGTCACTTTGAGATGTGAACAAGCTAGGAACCAGTGTGTGTCAGATTTAAATAAAGATATCATTTGAAGCATGGATATTTACATCTTGTCTAAATAGCACCTTTGTTCATTTGAATAAAAAGTTTTTTAAAATAACTAAGATTAAATAGGCAGAAACTCTGCAGGTTTAACCCTTGTTTCCCTGGCATTCATCCAGTTTATGCCTGAACAGCTGAGCCTCTAGACCAACTGTTTGCTGGGCTTCTCAGATTCTTTCTTTAAAGCTGCTACGTGGCAGTCAGTTATACTGTATATACTTTTTTAGATTTTGTTGACAAGAGATTGGCATGGTTGCTAAATTTGTTGCCCTGTAAACACAGATAACAGGAAAGGAAGATATAATCCCAGCAAATAATAAACTTATCACTGAATTCTATAAAAATAGATATCAAATCCTAAATGCTTTGGGTTTCTTATACTTCTCTTTTATGCATTGAGTTGTAATCTGTTGGCAAGATAAACAAGAGTATCAAGAGATGCATATACTAAGCCAAGAATTCCAATAATCTATCAGTCATTTAATGACTACATGCTGGGTAAGCCCTGGTTTAGTGACTAAAGGTAATTGGAGCCTGCACAAGCTGATGTAAAATACATCCGACTGCATTGCATGATTGTCAAGCCATTTCTCTACCATCAGTAGAGAATTAAAGGAAAATATTTCTTATATAAATTTTTTTCTTGTAGAAATTATCATTAGAAGAAAAGAATTTTCCAGGGTAATTAAAACCACCGATGTTCAGCTTAATTAGATGCTCTGCAGAAACAATAATTATGTTTCAGATCACATCAGCTACAATCTAGTGACCAGTTAGACAAATACATTTCAGCAAGGAGATTTTTCAGGCCAGTCTATCCCTTGGGAAAAGTGTGATTTCCCTGATGTCTTGTTTCTTGCTGACTTTAAAGAGAATGCGCATCCTAATTCTGAAGTAATGTTGGCAAACTGGAGAGGTATAAATGCTTCTCTGCTTTGTGAAACTGGTACAAAATATACATTATACACTTCCATTGTGCAGAATGATATATAGGTTGTGAAATCTATTTCTTCAGTGCTTTACTTTTAGCATATGGTAGCTTGATATTTCATTTTTCAGTGTTGAGGAAAGTGCTACTAAATTGGTAAAAAGTTAAAAATGTTAGAACAATAAGTAAAATAATATTAAACGCATTAACAACATTAAACAGAAAGGATATCTTAGAACTTCTAATCCAAATGTCCTTGTATGTATTCTTATAACGGTTTCAGCTTGAAAACTTCTCTCAGAATTTGATGGTTTAGTGTCTGGAAGGCAATGTTATGGAGAAGTGAAAAGTAAGCATGTTCCCAAAATCTTCATAAGGCTAAAACCAGGGAAAAAAAGAAGTATAATAAAATTGATGTAAAATAACTAATCAGATGTGAAATAACAACATATATCCATATTGATGCAGTGGAATTGAGATTGTGCTAGGCAATATACAGACAAAGGATGTCTTCGTATTTCTGAGGGAAGATTGATGAGAAAAATGACTCCTAAGTGCTCCCATTTCCACCTAGACTATTTGCAGTCCTGGCTCATTCTAACAGAAACCAAGGTTTATGGTATATAATGCACTATGAGGTTCTGCTTATCTTCCAGCTTTGTGTCTAGCTTATGGGAACTAGGATACAACCTTTTTCATTAAGGAATTGTTCTTGTGTCTTCTAGGATGCAAGACAGAAGCTGTGAGCAGGCATTGCCTCTTTCTTTAATGCTGAAGGAGACTTACTCTCCAGAGAGAGGAAGCAGTAAAGGATATCCTGAAAATATGTCAGAAGCTTCATCTTACCATGACTTTTTCTGTGATTCCCTGTCAGATGCACAGAATGGTGAATTTTCAAATGAACTTTCTGCCTTCCTTACCCAGGAGGAGATAAGTAAGAGCCTTGACATAGCTCGAGAAGCCATTGCCAATTCCATGGACGAAGATGAGAGCACACCACCAGACTTTACTCATTATCTCAACACCTCTCCTTCTAGCCCTTCAGAAGAACCTTCTTTCAGGGACACCAACATACATGAGCAAGATGCTTTACAGACACCTGAAGGAAGCAGTTGGACTTCATCTGCTGCAAGTCATGTTCTCCCAAGAAATCAGAAAGAGGAATCCACTGCACCTGATACAGAAGACAGTTTTGTCACAGTTTCAAGGAGACAAGCAAGCACCTCACCTTTTCTACCTGCTAGTCCCAGCTTTGTCAGAAGCCTGAAATTTTCAGAAAAAGGTGGTCCATTTATGACTAAGACAAGCCCAAACTCTGAATCGACATCCCAGGGAGAAGCTCCTTTCAGGAACAAGCTGTGTGACAAAGCTGCCACATTCATAGAGGAGTTATCATCTATATTTAGACAGGCAGCGAAGACAAGAGGCCGTAGTCCTGATGGGGACTCTTCTTCTCCAGACAGTGGATACCTGTCTCCTAATAAGAAACAACCAGCTTTAAGTACCTTAGTGAACCAGGAGTTTGACAAACCACATCAAGAGACTGAACCTGAGGAAAAATTACCTGGAGTTCATCTGAATGGAGAACACTATTCCGGAAGGGGGAGCATCATGGAGAGCAAAATGGTCCTGTGCCGTCCCTTCATCAACATGGAAGAGCACGAACTTTCACCACCTCTATTCACTCAGAAGCTCCGGAGCCAGGAAGTTGCTGAAGGAAACAAAGTATTGCTGGAGTGCAGAGTTGCTGGCAACCCAGTCCCTGATGTCAGGTAAGGGCTGTCGTCAGGTATCACCTGATTGTGGAAGATACCTAAGGACAGGTATGACAGTGACCTGCTTAGAAACAATCACATGAGGAGTCAAAGTTTTTGCAGTTTTTCAAAGCACAAAATATAGCACATTCTAACGTCTTTATTTCATTAGAATGTTTCACTCTACTTGCTTGGGAAAATAAATTCTGGTTGATTTAAGAGCCACACGGCAGAATTAGAAGCAGAATTGGCTCTAGCAACATTCTGTGTGATTGTTAATTCATTAATCCAAAAGAAGACACAACTTGCCCCTAGAGAGTATTATCTCAAGAAGATGATACAGTTTTTTATTGCTGATTAATTAGAATGTCTCCAAGATCCACGAAAACTGCTTTTCTGAATCTTAACTCAGAATCATAAAATAAGAGGCTCTTAATGACTGGGCAAAATAATTAATGAGAAACATTGCTAATATAATAGTAGATTATTGTAAATCAAGTGTACTTTTAAGTAATCACATCAGTATAAATTAATTTGTAACTTCTGTCTTATTTCCCTTTTGACACACATAACTGTGCTATGTCTGTAGATACAGCCATTACTGCATTGTGGCAGATATGATTCATGCGAACTTTTCGATCTCTTGCAAAGCTCCCTGACAGTCAAATTAATACACTTTCATGGTCCACTCTCGATTTTATTCTCAGTTTTATTTAATAATTATTACTTATTCTCCATCTGCCAACTGAAAGAAAACATATCAGTTACTAAGAAACATTACTTTTTAAAGTTTCCACGAAAAAAAATTTCTTCCTTCATCTCTATTTCCCTTCATCTCTATTTCATTATGGATTTTCAAGAGAGGAAAAACACGGCAGCTGCACCTCAAAAACTACTCATTTCTTAATTCGACGCACCTCTTTTTTGCATGTCCTTTCTGTAGTGACACCGACTTGGCTGAAGAGGTCACTCACACACAGCACGGGCGGCACAGAGCCCTCGAGTGATGCTGTGGAGCCAAGAGAGTAAAAAACCAAGGCTCGCTCAGGGGTTAAGAGACAGCAAACACTTGAGTGATGTTTGGGTGAGACTCCAGAGTCTGAATCTTGGGGAAAGGAGAGGTTTCTTTCCAGATGAGAAAGCATGCAGAAAAATATAGTAGTGGATTTTTATCTATAGTAGCATTACTGGGAACTTCTAAACAGTTTTACAGTATCATCTAGGCACATTAGTGTCCTTCTTTCTGGATAAGAAAAGGAGTTTTATGGTATATCCTAGATATATATCCAGTTAATTTGCTGCAGTGGAAAAAGGCAAGCCTGTTTAAAACCACCCACATATTGCAGAGCAAATGAAGAATGTCTGTGCTACTTTCAGAAATATTTTCTGTAAATGAGAGTTTTGTATGGTTTAGAAATAAAGCAAAACATCAATGATACAATAGTAGTTTACCATTCTTGGTAATGAAAATAATCCCGTTTTCTAAAGCACTTTACTTAGACAATTGTTTCATTAGGCTGGATTTCTGGTTTGTAACTTATATAGAAAACAATCTTCAGACCATAATCATATGAGTTCAAAATATTTACAGTTTTCTGAAGAAACTGGCCAGGAAAAAAAAAAGTGTAAAAGATACTGAACTTTTTGTGAAGATTTCTGAATAGGTAGAAGGTAGAAATGGATATTAAGAAAGTATTGTATTGCATTGCCAAAAGAAGGGCAATGGAACAAGCTGAACAGTTACCTGGTGTGAGAAGTGTAAGAGCTAGCCATTTGACACATGCTGAACAGGAGATACAGGCAGGGGCATGAGCCAGGGCTGCCATAGTCTGTACATTTGCACAGAACAATAAAATCTGTAGAAACCAAGTTCAGTTCTTCTGATTTTCCCCAGAAAACCCAGTTTCAATAACATAGCCCCTGCAAAGGCTGTTTTTGGAACCCTGTGTGATAAGTGTGACTAAAGTATAAAGCAGTTAGGATTACTGTGGCGGGTTTTTGTTTGGTTGGTTGGTTTTTTTGCCTCAGTTGGGAAGAAAACCAGAAACCACATTTCCTAAATTCATAAGGAAGTAAAAGTAGTTTAATGATGACAAGAAAATCACTAAGTTCTTATTTTGCCAGGCACTCAAAAAGCTCAAAAATTGTCCAGCATAATAATGAATACAGCTGATATTTAAGCAGAATCAAGCACTGGTACCTATGAAGTCATCCAATTGACATCAGAGCAAAAGGCCTTCAAAAGAATCTACCTAGGCTTTTCTGATCTTTTAGCATGTTACTGCTTTTCTATGCCTCCCTCACATTTTATCCTGGATCCAAGTAATCTTTATAACTGGCTTTCTTCCCTTTTCATAGCTAAACTTTCAAAGTCCTCAGCCTATACAAAGTTGAGCTAGAATCCTTCTTTATCCTGCTACTTTTCTTATGAGGATAAAGATAAAAGTGTTGCCAAATCTTAGTGTAATTAAAGAAACCATCAAATGTACTGTAAGGACAAGGTGTATATTTTAAGATTATTTGTCTAGCTTCTTAAATTTTAAGTTCCGTAGATGTTCATAGCCATACACAGCTGAAAATAAAACAGTAAGTGTTATGGTTTAAGTGACAAACCTGAACCAAAGTAGTTTTGTTCTACAAAACTATTCAAAATAGGAAAAAAGTATATTTTGACAGAAGAACTTACAACTAGAATCTTAGTGTTGAAATCCAAAAGAAAATAATCAGTTACACTTCAAGAATCATTAAATTTATTTTAAAAGTTCAATGTCTAACTTACTAGTTCTACTAGGAGAAAATAAGATTTCTTACAATGAATATTTTATCACTGATCAGAAAAATTCTTACATTTCTGAGTAACCCAAATTCCAGCCTAAGACCTAGGAAGGTACAGAATTATTTGAAAAGTTTGAGGATATCTGCCTTCTAAAGAAGGTGTAAAACATATAAAATATAAGTTGAAAAAAATTTCTGTTACTCTCAAAACCATTTTATCAGTCAGTAGCTGTCCTTCAAAGTGCATCAGCAATGCAGCGTTTAAAATACTCCTATTAGCCTTGAGCTAGCTAAAGCAAATCCCAGCTGGGCGTGACATCTTCAGCATTTGCCTCACCACCTGAATATTTAATTGCTTCTGAGGTCTGCCTGGAGCTGTAAGACGTGATTAAAGTATTTTCTGAGGTATACCCTGAGCTGTAAGCTGTGATTAAAATATTTACAGATATTCACCCAGTTTCTGTAGTACAAGAAGTATTAAATTTTTCATGCAAAATATATTATTTCCCTTTTTCCACAGCAAATTGACACAAAAGTAATCCAAATCAAAATTAAAAATAAGGCACTTTCCAAATACTATATGACAAGAACAGCGTTTCTTTGCTTTAAGGAAATAATTTGCTCTCATTACAGTCCTTTTATTCTTGTAAGTGCTGTTTGTCTAGATTTGACTGAAACAAATACCTAAAATCCCTAGAAACATTACATGCATGTAATCCAGAACTGTTCTTAGAAAATACAGAAACAAGTACAAAGTATAATACTTAAAGTTATAATAAAACCAAATTATGCTGACTTTTACAGCTTCAAAATCTTATCCTGTTTTACAATCTTTAAAGGCTTTGAAGACTAAAAACATGCAATAAACTATGTCACCACCACAGTCCTCCCATCAGGCACAGTTGCAAAGAAAATTGAACATCAGATTAATTCATGCTTAACACAAACCTACACAGCTGTGTAAAAACCCAGGTGTACAGGACAACAGTGATTAAACTACCTCCACAGCAGTTGGCACTTTTAAGTCCTAGAAATGTAAGAGGTGTCACAGATGTAGTTTCTTCTTCTTTGCTGGACTTGATTTGAGGTAAGAAAATCTGTGGTTTAGAGACAGAATTTAATTTTGTTTCTTGAACTCTCTTATGAGATAAATTTTGTAGTTGTAATGAAACACCAGTGCCTTGGTGGGAAATAGAGATGTTCTACTAATTCTGTAATGGCAAGGCTTTAGTACTACTTATTTTTATCAAATATGAATAGTTATTTATGTATGTGTGATAATGGGACATTCTTGACCATTCTAGGTGTCCTTTCTGCATCTGAGGAAAACATACAGTGGAGTTAAGGCCTGTCTAGGTCATGTAGTCACCTGCTTTAAAATCAATGTAGCCTATCTGAGCAATGCTAGTAGTGCATTGGTTTTCTTAACTTGTAAGTAACAGTTCTTTTACCTTAGAACCACTTGGAAAGATTTGCCATGGTGGTCCTTAAGAGCAGCACTTGGGAGACTCCTGTTGAGTATGGTGTTCTGGTTGCAGAGAGGGGGCAGAGCTTAATGCTGTGTGGGTGTAGCTGGGTTGTTACTCTATAGGAATGATGGTTACCACCTTTCTCAGTCAGTTCATGGGAGTGTGGTACCTAAGCCAGTGTAGGTAGCCATATGCACTGCTGGTGAAGATGCTTTTCAAAGTAGGGAGAGGGATTAGGACTGCTTTGTTGATGTACTGCATTATATTGGTTTATTACATAGTAATGTCAAGGGCAATGAGCATCATTAGGGATATATATTTAGTGTTGTTCACCTGACCTGGTCTTGTCTGATACCTCTGGGTATTCATTAATAATCATACGCAGCCTATAGGAGGAACAGAGGAGGAGGATTTTCCCAGCCTTCTACCCCTCTTCTCCTCCTTCAGGTGTGCTATAAAAGATTTTGAGAATTTTGGATTCTCTTTAGGTGTTAAGAAAACCATTTTTCACTAAATTGTTATCTTAACCCATGGGCTCTGCTTTTGTCCCTCCCTCACCAGAAAGGGCAGGGGAAAGGGTCGTGGCTTATTTAGGGTTTAATTTCCTCCTGGAGTTAACCCACAATAATGATAAACAAATGTTTTGTTTAAAGGATGGGGTGTCTTTTTCTTGCTTGCCTAACACCACAGAGTACAGCATTTAAAATAGGTACCTGGAAAGCACATTTCACATTGGAAAGAAAGCTCTTTCCAATGTGAAATTATCTTTACAAA